TCATCAGAGTCTATCATATCCTTTGGGATAGGGCCTAGGCCCACCCCCTCCAACCCCACCCCCCACCCCCGTGTGTCTTGGCTCAGGGAATATCCCTCTATGTGGACTGGGCTCCCAAAGTTCACACCTATGCTAGGGCTATGTACTGAACCACAGGAGGTCCTGTAGATTTCCGAGGTCTCCTCATTGAAACACAGGTTCCTGGGGTCTGGATCAGTCCCATGTTGGTATCCCAGTTATCAGTCTGGGGACCAAGAGCTCCCCGCTGTTCAAGTCAGCTGTTTCTGTGGGTTTCACCAGCCTGGTCTGGACCCCTTTGCTCATCACTCGTTCTCCTCTGCAACTGGATTCCAGTTCAGTTCAGTGATTAGCTGTGAGTGTCTGCTTCTACTTCCACAAAATGCTGGATGAAGGCTAAAGGATGGCATATAAGTCAGTCATCAATCTCATTATCAGGGGAGAGCATTTAAGGTAGCCTCTCCTCTGTTGCTTAGATTGTTAGCTGGTGTCATCTTTGTAGATCTCCAGACCTTTCCCTGGTACCTGAATTCTCTGTAAACCTAAAATGTCTTCCTCTATTATGGTATCTCCTTTCTTGTTTTCTCCTATTCTTCCCCTGACTCAACCTTTCTGTTCCCACATGTCCTCCTCACCCCTCCTCTTCTCCCCTTCTCATTTTCCTAGCTCCCTTCCCCCTCCTCCCTTGCTCCCAATTTGCTCAGGAGATCCTGTCCCTTTGCCCTTCCTCCAGGGCATATATGCCACTCTTAGGGTCCTCCTTGTTTACTAGCTTCTCTGGCAGTGTGGATTGTAGGCTGGTTATCCTTTGAATCTCTGCATTTCTTATTATTTTCTCAGAAATCGATTTACTGGGTGGAAGAGTAAGTGTTTTGATGAGTCTGCTATGGGCAGCCATGATATCATCTGGAAGGATGCATCCGGAATGAGCTGGTAACAAAATGCCCATTTCACATCTCCTCACCAACAGACGCTGAATTCTGCAGTATTTTGCTAATGCCAGGCAAAATGGTTCTTTAAATTTACATTTATTCATTAATACAACCGCACATTTCCATCCATCCATTATCATCTGTACTTCCTCTTGGATTTATAATCCATTTTTATCATCTGTCTACTTAAAAAATGTTTTACTAGAGAAAAATATACACACAGAAAAGCATGTTTTAAGTGCACAGCTGTTCAATGATTTTTCTCCCTAAATGGAACACACCCACAGAAGCGTACCCATCAAGACAGAGCATGAGCAGTCCCCAGAGCTCCCACATGTCCCTTACAAGCACTAACTCTCTCTGCTAAGAGTAACCTCTATTCTGATGCCTAATGAGTTTTGCGTGGCTTTGTGCTCCTCCCCCACTTTATACCAATAGTTCTACTGCTTGTTTGTTTTTCTGATTAGTAAAGATGAGGAAAGGTACAGTTATAATCCCAGCACTTGCAAGGCTGTGTCAGAACGTTATGAGTTCAGGATCAGTGTGTACTACAGAAGAACTTGTCACAAAACAACAAACAACAAAAATCTGAAAGAAAACAAAGGTTAAACTGAATTAACTGAAATTAGAAAGGCATGCGCGCGCGCACACACACACACACACACACACACACACACACACACACAGAGGATTAATGAGTAATCACAACTGATGACTCTGCAAACAGATACACAGAGAAACCAATTGTGTGGGGGTAGGCATCCTCATTTTAATTGAAAAAAACAACAACCAAATGAACAAAACCCCCTCAGACCCCAAGTCCTGCAAATATGCTCTCATGTCATATTCATGCCCACACTCAAAGAGAGGGAGATTAAGAACGGTTTACTGAATGATGTAATGGGCCAGTCTCTGCTCTAACACAACCTCACAATCCAGGAAGACAGGAAGCTGAAGTACAGAGGTGCTACTTGCCAGACTGCAACAAACTAGTAAGTGGCCAAACAAGGACTTGTGTCCCACACAACTGGTGTCTGAGAGCAGGTTGTTATCTATCCTACCTTACATCCTAGGGAGTTTTGGAGCATCTAAATGCTTCACTATAGATTTTCTGATCACCACTTTCTAAATCTTTAGAGGCTAACACACATGCTCAATAAACATTTATTACTTGAGTACATGAAAGACTTCACTGCCAATTTTTGATGCTTTCCCATCTTTTTAAATATGCTTTAATATGCCTTTTCCTTTAGAAAGAAGAACATCCTGAAAGCCAAAACACAACTTACTCACTTCTCAGTGGCTAAGAGAAAAATCTCATTCTATACTTGAACAGACTACTGAAGCTTACTAGTTCCAATGGTGCTTTGTGTGAACTCACCAAGGAGGAACAAATACAAGTTGCTCTTCTCAGCACAGACTGGTGCAGCATGTTTTCTCTGAAAGGGGAAACCCCCTGGAATGACGTACAAGGCTTTATACCTCTCTTTTTTCAATAGGAGCAGCTCCATGTTTCCCTGGCAGCTCAGATCTGCGTGATGCAAGCCTGCAGCTGCCTGACCACTCAATACACAAGGTCCCAGTTATGTGTGCTTATAAGCTCACCGACTGGACTATTTCAACAGAAGGTCAGCCATAGCAATAGACTGTATATCCTAGGTAGCTTGTTGGACTCAAAGTGAAAGGTTGGTGGGCATAACAGGCTAACTGCAGAAAAATTACTGCAGTTTCAGACACTGACAGGTTGACAGTTTTGATGTTATTTTGCGTTGGCAGAATACTCATCTTATTAAAGTTATACTCCCTCAAATAATGCTAATTTTTTTTAGATACCAGCATATATAAATAAATGTGTAAAGATAACACAAAGAAAAATACAATCCTGGGCTTTTAAAACAAAAACAACAGTGACCTTTTAGTAGCCAAGTGGTGATAACAGAAGGGCTGTGGGCTAGTATACACAATGATTAACTTTTCTTCTCTGTTTCCATTGCACAGAAGTCTATGTGCCTACAATGAAATTCTCTAACAATGCGTTGTATATGTATATGTGTCTGTGAGTGTGTATGATGTGAGTGCATATTTCATATCCTCATTGGTGAGTGACACATTATTGTCTATACACTACCTGGATGTGACAAAGAATCCCTTTATGTTACAGACATAGGGCAGTGAAAAAATGTACACATAATAATTAAAGGTAACTAACAAGCAGAAGTAAATTGAGAGGTAACAGTTGGATAAATTTAAATATCATTACAAAATTAAAAGGTCTGTCTGAATCAGACTTTTGTTAGAGGAGGTACTACTGAAAACTAAGAATTCATATTATTTGGTTTTTTCATAAGAAAGATGATATGTACCATATGGTCATAGGTGTTATATGGAGGTCACTTACGTTGATAACGGATGAAGAAGTTGACAAGTTTAGACCTTCAAGATCAGCTATCAAGCTTGGAGAAAGGGCTGGTGTAGGAAGGGCAACTGGAGTGGATACTGGGTTAACTGGAAGAAAAGGCCCAAATAAGTAAGTGTGCATGAAAATTTAATTCATATTATTAAAAGCAACATTTTTATTTTGCTAGTAAATCTAATTAAATTACTCCAATTAATGAATGTATGGCAATTCTATTTAACATCCTGATTTAGTCAAGTTATTATTAAGTAACAGAGTGCTTAGTCCGAGCTTGCAAACATAATGCCAAACCCATAACAAAACAAGGTATAAATATCTTGAGTAATGGTTTTTGAAAATTTGTATCGCTAACATTTATCACCCAGAACTTCACTAAAAGAAAGTAGTAGGACACATTTTCCACATTAACGTAAAGAAAAATGTAAAGAATGATTTCCAGCTGGGTCAGGCTTTTTAAAGGATGCTTAACTCACACCTTCAGTTTTTCCTTCACTCTAATGAATTAGAGTCCAGGCTGGATAATGCCCTCTAATTAGACACTGCGACAAAGCTATGTGCTAAAGCTGGCATGCACCTAATAACAGAAACCTGGATCATGAAAAATCTGTTCAAAACCAAACTCCAATTATGTAACTTGATTATCATTCCCAAGATGTTAGTCCACATCATTCAGCCTACCTACAGGACACTTCAGGTTCCACCTCCCCTCTGACAAACTGACAACTGTACTTCTCATGTGACACAGATTGCACCTTTTTGTGTTTGTTTTGTTATTTTGTCAAGACAGAGTTTCTCTGTATAGCCCTGGCTGTCCTCGAACTCACTCTGTAGACCAGGCTGGCCTCAAACTCAGAGATCTGCCTGCCTTTACCTCCCGAGTGCTGGGATTAAAGGCCTGCGCCACTACCATACTGCTCATTGTTCACCTTTACTGTTTTGGTTAGCCTATGAACACTTCACCTTACTGGCTTTTAGTTTTTAGTACAGTCTTAACTGTTGAATTGGGGGCGGGGGGAGTAACAGTGTAAAGGAGTAACTTAACTTGACTCTACTTTTCAGATTCTTTCTCTCCTTTTAGTTTACATTATCCCTAGGATTGGGCAGAAAAAGAATTAATTCATAAAGTCAACAATAAAATGTTTTTTTTTTCAAGATAAGGTCTCTGTGTTAAGAAACTTATGAGAAAAAAAGATACATGCCCCTTAAAAAACAAAGCAACACTACAGTTTGTAAGTGAGTGCTAAGAAAGACAACCTCTAAAGGAAATCTCAAACCAAGTCTACACACACAATAGAAACGCAGGGGTGGGACTGGGTGTCTGTGGGAAGGCAGTCCTTGGTTCCCCATTGCTTTATTTTTAGCATGGCTGAAGCAATGTTAACACAACATGTACAGATACAGATGCAAATGCTTTCACACAGAACATTCATTCAATCCCAGGACAATATTTGTTTAATTTTGTAGATCCAGCAACTAAATCACAGTGGGTGTGATGGTAAATGTTAGTTATCAATGTGAGTGGATCTAGAATCAATTAACAGATGACTGTTGGGGATGTGTCTGAGGAACTTTCAAGATCCGTTCAATTGCAGTGGTAAGACCCACCCAAACTGTGCAGCACCTTCTGGTGGCAGGCCAGATTAATAGATCTGAGCAAGGGAAGCATTTGCTTCTTGCCTGTTTGCCTTCACATTGTGCTGCCAAGTTCATCTACCCTACTGGCATTTTGCTGCTGGGGCTGTGACCAACACTCATCACTAATATCCAAGTCCAGCTTCTTCAGCCTTCCAATGAGAAGGCTGAAAGACCTGTGGCTCTAGGAATTTTCCAGACCTTCAGAGATAAAACTGGAACTGTCAAGGCAGTCAGCCTTATGGACTGAGCAGCTGCCAGGCTTCAGGCCTCTTCAGTGTGAAGGCAGCAATGGTGGGACTACCTAGAGCACATCATGCAAGCCAATCTGATAAGTGCCTTTCAATGTGCATGCATTCTATTGGCTCTGTTCCTGGAGAGAACACTGACTAATGTACAAGTCAAATAAACTGTAGCACAGTTAAGAAGTAAAAAGAACTGAGATTGGAACTCTCCACTGTCCAGGCACGGTGGATCACACCTTTAATAATCGCAGCACTCTGTAGGCAGAGGCAGGCAGATCTCTGTGAGTTTGAGGACAACCTGGTCTAAATAGTGAGTTTCAGGTTGGCTAAGGGTACATAGTGAGACTGTCTAAAAACAGAAAGAGAAATTTCAACCTTTCTATTGTCGCATAGCCACCTTACTCTACGCCTTACCCGAACAACACTCAACACTCTGGTAACTGATACCAGAGACAATAAAGCTTATGAAGAAGTCCAATTGTCTATTTGGAAAGACTTCAGAACTAGTTGAACTAAGGGTATAATGAGCAGGTTTACCCTCCCTACAAAGGAACACCAGAGTGATTCTGCTTTATGATCATCTCATTTAGGTAAGCTGGTATAGGGGACTAAAAGATATTCAAGTTTCCAAAATGAAAAAATATACCCACCTCCCTCCCCAAAGGCAGAAGGTATATTGCTTTCTTGAAGTCCAACAAACAGACTGCAGGTCATGTATTATTCTGGCATGGGTATTATCTCCTGAAACCCATACGTCAAATAACCTCATAATCTTAAGGACCAAGCCGACAAAACTTGAGCCCTGGAGAAAGTTCACATTCAAATCTAACAGCCAGCATTAAGAATGCCATATTATGAATTAAATGACAGATGGGCACTCTTAGGGTTGTGGTATCTAATCCAGTATTATGTACCTCTTGAGTGACTTTTGTTATGGCATTTTCTTTTATATATATGATATACTTGGATCATATTACCTTCATTTACCTGCCCTCCCATCCCTTTCCTTTTCTCCTGTAGTCTTCTGCCTACTCTCATGATCTTCCGCCACCCCAGATGCTACATGAGATAAAACATGCAAGGCTTATCTGTGATTCCACCTCATTTAACATGACTTCTAGTTCCATCAATGCAGCATATACCCTGCATCTGCTTCAACCAACCTCAGCAACACTGAAAATTAGAGCATTTTAACATTCATGAACTCTCATTTCTGACTACTCTCCTCATACAGAATCGACCTAGCAATCAAGTTCACTGTACTACTCAGCAACCACCACACTGAATCATTTAGGAATGGTGACTATATATACTAAGGTTAGTAAAGTTATAGGCATCTGAATTCTTAGACATATATTTGCTTGAAGAAAGACTTTCCATAGTTATAACATTGAAGGAAAAGCCAAACTGGCCAGGCAAGGCTTGTAAGCCACTGTGGCAAGTAGAAGACGGTGCTGGGTTTCTTTTGTTCCTCTCCTAGTTCCCTTCCAGTGTCAGTACCCACAGTCAGGATCTTACAATGTGGATGCTGTGAGGCAGGATCATGATTTGGTAGTGCAAGGACAAACTTCCAAAGTAAAACGGGTCTAATACACTTGACTTGGTGCTTCACTCACATGACACAGAACTGGCATGCTGAACCAATGAAAACACTTATACCACTGGCTGGAAACTCTCACCTCTTCTGATCATTTGTGACAGATGCTTCTAAGGTTTGGGAAATCTACATGAGAAGTACTATCCAAGTATAGAATATAGGGAAGTCATAAATACAGAACAAAGGAAGTCCCAGTACTTACAATCGTCTAGATCTAGAAGGAAAACATCTTTGGGGGGAGGATGTCTTTCTTGTTGGGGTTTTCTTTCTTTTGCCTGTAAAATATCAAAACCTCACTTACTTCAGATCTTGTCTAAAGAAAACCATGAAATATTCTTACCACTACAAAACAAGTGTGTTTTTGCCTATTAGCCTTAGAAACAAAAACACAATATAAACTTTTGCATGGTGATACATTTTCCTGAATCAAAATTTCTTTGTTAGCATATTGTATTTCTTACTCATCACACAAACTGTGTTTACAGACCATAAAGTACCTTTAGAAGAAAATTTAAATGTGATAGTTATTTTAAAACCTGACACCTTTTTCTTGTTGGCTAAAAATACAATGTGGCTCTCATTACAAAGTGAATAAACACTCGTAGAAATAATTGTTAAACAGGTTTATGTAAGAAAAAAGAATATCCAAACATTGCATAGGCAGTGACAGTGTCCTCTCAGGCTTGTAACAGGCCGGACTCCTCAGGTGCCCGAGAGGCACTCACGAGATACTCAGTATCCCTATGCTGCGTTGTATTGGAGGTCTTCACCGAAGGCACCCATTAAAACAACATCTCTAGCTCTTGCTCTTTAGTATGGAAAACAACTCATTCCCTTCTTTGTTTTATATAAAGTAAATATTTAAAACACATCTACCTAAAACTAGTGCTTCTTCCATGACAAACTGGCCTATTCACTGTTTATGAACATTCATCAACATGGAATGAATACAAAGGTCTTATGCCAGGTTACCCATCATAATAAAATAAAAATAGCTTATACAATGCTTGCTGTAAAATCATAAGGACCTGAATTGGGATCCCAACACCCACATCAGAGTCATGTATAATCCCAGTGTATGCTGGGAAGGTGGAGCAAACAGGATTTCTGGCTAGCCAATCCAGCTTAATAAGTTACAGTGTTAACACTGTCTCAAAAAATAAGGTGGAAAGTAACTGAGAAAGACACCAGATGTTGATCTCTGGCTTCTACACATATAAACAGGTGAATGCACACTTACATCCATAGCGTCCACATACATAGGAATACATACATACCTGCCCACTGTGCATAATTATAAACATGTAAGTAGCACAGTAAACAAAAAAGGTCAACAAAGAACAGTGAATTAAACTGACACATTTGCATCAGTGTTGCTTAATCTGTCTGTCTTTTACATAAATTCTCAAATTCAAAAAAATTTACTTCTTTTTGTTCATTCACTCATTCATTCAATAGATATGTATAGAATTTTAAATGCATATCAGATTCTGTACTCAGCAATGGAAATAATAACCTAGACAAAGTCCATACTCTCAAATAAGAGAATTTTAAACTTATTGTTAGCATTTATTGTGCCAATGAAGCAAAAGGTCCACATGAGTGCTGATGCACTTACAACTCTGCACACACATGAATAATAGCATACATAAAAATATGCCATGCTGGTAGGTAGAGTGTACTGCTGTCACAAAGGACCTGAGTTCAGTTCTTAGCACATGCATCAACAGCTCACAACCACCTGCAATTCCAGCTCTAGGGTATCCTTCACCATCTTCTGGCTTCTTTGGCACACACACACATACACACACACACACACACACACACACACACACACACACACACACACACTTTTTAGAAAAGCATAATGTTTTCATGTGACTGCAGTTTTATGTGTATTCTCCTTTATGCTAACACTCGGAGAACTGTTCGAAGATTATATAATACACATTAAAACCAAAAAAAATTATAACTAAAAAATAAAAAATCAGTATTATTTCCTTCTAAGGTGAGTTTTAACTCCATCCTTCTTCAAACATAAGACATCATCTCACCTCTTAACTCTTCAAATGAGTACCAATGCCTAGTCTTCAGGAAAAGAGAAGAAATGCTAGTTTTGAGACTGAAATTTAAGTTACAAGCAGATTCAGAATAAAAAGGCCATTACTACTAGACTTCACCCCTGTGAATAAAAACATAACCAAAAGGTTATCAGCATGTGGCTCACTGACACAGTGCACACAATGGGTGCAGTGTCCCATCAGCTACAACAACAAAACTGTCTTTATCAAAGTGTAACCTGAAAATTAGAAACCTATCGAAACAACAAAAATGATAAGGTTAGAGTGGAAGGCAAGTCTACACCCTATGTTCCACTTGACAGCCGAGACTGTGTACCAGTATCTATTCAACCCACATCTGGTCACATACAACACAGAGGAGAGCTATTGTAAGTCTAGGATCCTCTCTTATCAGAAGCCCAGAACAGAGAGACAACGGGCTCGAAAAAGGACAGAATTCCATTGACTTTCTGAGAAGAGCAAGTAAGCAGTGACTGCAATACAACATTACCAATAGATGATGGTCATTTCCACCAAATTGGAAAAGCCTTGCATTCCAAATCAAGGCTATAAAATGCTTCATGATATGCAAGCATGCTTCTCATACATTGTATTTCATTTTTCATTTTAAAAAATCCATAGTAAGTTCACAACATTTTCATACTTAAAGGATCTACTATAAAAATAAAAATCTGAATTCTAAACAAAGAAGTTAAGAGTCCTATTCCATCAAACATTTCTCCATTTGCAATTCATCTTGGTAATAGAGACAGAACCTGGGCAAATGCATATAGGACTTGAGGCAGGAGATTTTTCTTGCTCAATGCATAATTCATGTGCTCCGCCTGCAAAGTGTGTAAAATGAGGATTTCACACCGCAGCATGAGCCACGGAGCTGCGGAGAAAAGGCAGATGAAATCATATTTTACTGTGTGAATTTTATTTCTTAGACTCCCAATATTTATACAAAACCGCCATTGACAAACCAAACACACTGACAGATCACCCACTGTTTCCATTGTGTTAGGACTTGAGAGGAGACCAAGCAGAAAGATAGACAATTTGTTTTGTATATTTTTTTAAATAGAGGATTAGGTTTTTAACAGCTGAGTGACTGTATTTGACTTTTATAAGGACAACAGTTACTGATCTTAAGATCCTGCTGCAAAAAAATACCTACTTATCAATTCACTGCCTTCAAATCCGCACCTTGTTTCTATGGTATTAGATTATACACCTCAACATAGGAACATTTTCAAAATAGGATAAAAAGTCAGAGCGTTAAGAAACTAACTTATAGTTAATATATTTCATTTAAAAATAAGTAAAGGATTTTAAGTTCTAAATACAACCAAAAATATGAACAATAACTCTGTAAAGAGTTTTCACGCATTATGAACATCCATTTGCATACCGATTACAGAAAAGCTAAGTGGAAAAAAGACACAAAGTGATGAGCAGCAGATAAGCTTCTATTGTACAAAGTTTTGAAATTTAAGATGACACAACAGGATAACCAGTAAGAAAGTTTATCAGACCCCCACTGTTCTTAAAATCCAGAGCAAATGAATGCTAATGAGCAATACAAGGGGGTCTAACAAGCCTTCCCCAGCAGAAAACACCTGCTTCCTTCCACAGGACTGCTGTTTGACAGTTTCCCTTTGTTTTAAAGATCTCAACTAAAATCAAAAAAATTTTTTTTGAGAATTTAAACGAGAAAGACAAACACTGAAAGAGACAAAGCTTTGAATTTTTATAATAAAAACCACATTCAATAGTCACACAAGTTAGGATTGCAACCCCTGTAAAAGTCAGTGAACAGACAAACCCATCTTCACTTCTCAAAGAACAGAAAACAGGCTGAAAACGGCTCCTCTGTAGCATTTGCAGAGTCATTTCATATCACAGTAAAACTGCCTTTTCACTAAGACTCCCTCACAAATTAGTTATCTCCATCACCAAGTCTTTATATTAAGGCAATCTTGATGTGCTGACAGTCAGATGTTATTCCCCAGGCCAATGACTGGTTCTGAGATCACTAGGAAAGGTCATCAGTGTCACAATACCTCCCAAAGAGGGACAGCAAAGTTCTAAGACACATAAAACCTGGGATAGTATAGACATTGCAGACACAGCCAAGAATACACAGATTCCAGTGTTTTTCCATGTTAGTTCACACAGTAATCCCATGAACCAGACATAAATATTCTTAACATGTACGAAGTATTAAGTTCAAGAATACTAAACACTTCACACTTATTTCACACTGATAAATTATTATGCCTTAAGTAGGTTGCATGTAACTAAAACATTTATTAACACAGGACTGCAAGCATGGAGACCTGAGTTCTGATCCTCCACAACCACATAACAGAGCCAGGCACTGCCCTGACTCTAATGCTAGCACCTAGGAGGCTGTCACAAGAAAAACCCAGTGTCACTGGACAGCTAGTCTAGCCAAATCCAGGAAGTAGAAGTTCAGTGACAAGTCCTGTCTCAAACACTAAGGTGGGAAACAATTGAGGAAGATACCCGACATCAACCTCTAGCCTCTACACATATGCATACACACATACATTGCACCCACACAGCCACTACACAATCCCCCAGACAAAACATTGTTAATACGTATAAAGAAATAGGTGAATTCATAGTACATTCTAATCATGATTTCAGATCACCACCTTGCCCACTGATATCTCTATCTGTAGGTGCACACATCAAAGAGACTGCAGCTAATGTGTCAACAGCAGAATAAGACTCCACTGACACAACCTTAGGACACAGAAGCAACCTAACAAGCTTAGTTACAGGAATACTGAAGCCTAGGTTCACTGAAGGGGAAACATCTAACAACCTGAAAAGCATTATTTTAAATAAAATGTCCAACACATCTTAACTTGTAGAACATAACTTTAATGTTACAAAATAATCTAAGACACAGAGATACAAATGAGGATCACTTCCACATATAATGTCTAAATTGCTAAGCTTTCTCTCTATTCTTCCATATAAAAATATTTTCCTTCACACTGTATAAAGTATGTAAAAGTGCTTAAAATATGGAACTGTTCAAAGTGATTTTGTGGGGCTAGAGATGGTTTAGTTGTTAAGAGCACTGGCTGCTCTTGCAGGGGATCCAGGTTCAGTTCCCAGCACCTACACAGGGGCTCACCAGTGTCTGAGATTCCAGTTCCCAGGATTCCTACTCCTTATAGCCAATGTGGGCATGCATACACATGCAGGTAAACACTCATACAAAATAAAAATAAATTAATCTAAAAAAAATTTGCTATAAGTATTACTTGGAATAAAATAATTATTTTCTAGAAATGATGATACTCCAAACATTTCTCAAGACACATTTCAGAAAAGAACATGGGCACTTGCCCATAAAACAATTAAATCTGAGACAAGATCATGTTCTATTGCCATTACTGGTCACAACACAGCATTAAATAACAAATCCTTAAAGAATACAGATATCCAGGAGTGACGCCCTCCCAACACTACCGTTTCAGTTCTCTGCAGTCACTGTCTATTAGAAGGGAGGTCCACAGTCTAACAGGAGGTCACTTCCTCCTCGCCTTCTACATTCTTTAATAAGAGAAATGTGCAAAGATGAACAAAGGCTCAGATACAGCCAAGTACATAGTTTCATAAGAGAAGTGTGAGTATTAGGCCAGCATATGAGTAGATTAGAAAGAGAGAGGTGGATGTAGACACGGTGGAGGAGGTTTAAATGAACTCAAATGGCAGCTTAATCCAGTCACTGGGCTGAAGGTGGGGGTTGGGAAAATATCAGTCTGAGGGTGACTATACCAAAGGGCTACAGAGCTGAAGAAGAGTTGATGTAGACAATGAAAGGAGGAAAAGAAGAAACAGACAGGAGAAATCAGATGAAAACTCTAGAAGTCCTGGCATCTATCTAAACATGTAGAGTGGAGGAGTCAGGAGGAAGGACTGCTGGCCCTGTGTAAACACACATTTCTGGTTGTGCTAGGGTTAAAAATCCAGCCCATAAGTATTTGGTCTGGATTTGGGAAGAAAATCTGGAAGTAGCACAACAGAGAAGTATTACTATGTAAGCACTTTAGTGGACGATATGTGCAAAGGAGGTTAGGAAACAAGCAAAATTTTGAATACTGTTTAAAAAGAGGCAGGAAACATGCAGGGATCCTGATCTCCTCCACACAGCAGTGTCTGCAGATAAGTGGTGTTACTTATCTGGGTTGAAATGTAGGAGATGGAGGGCATGAAAATCATTCTTTTTAGACTCCATGTTTATCTTCTGGCTCCCTTTTAGAGGACAGAAACCACTTGAGGGGTCTGGATGGCAGAAGAGAAACTAGTAGATCAAAATTAAAAGTGCAGAGAAGGTAGATAGATGCTGACTCACAAAATGAGGTCAAAGGAAACAGGCCTTATTCTTAGCTAAATGGACAGAGCACCTACTCAGAACTAAGTTAAATGGAGATTGAGTTGAGAAGACAGAGTGGCATGTCTGCTCATGGCTGTCTGATGAAGAAGGTAGATCCAAGCTAGGGTCACAACTGAAAACAGACTTAAACCTTCAATACTGTTTAAAATGAGTAGAAAAGTACAGGAGACAAGAGCCACGGGGAGACAGGTAAACACTATTAAAACTGTGCTAAGTCTGCACTTCATGTTGCTCTTGTGCACTGGTTTCCCCAGAAGATACTGGCACAGCAAGGTAGGTACTGTTGTCTGCTGTATAAATGAGGAGATTGAAGCATGAAGGTTTTACCTGCCTACAAGAACTCCATACTAACCTCACAGGACCACCATAAAATTAACTGTTTTGAAAGCCATATAGTCAAGCTATCTCCGCAGTCTCATGTTGATGCTCAATGCACCCCCAAATGCATTGACCTGATGAAAGAAAAACAGTAAAAGAACACTCAAACTGCAGAGTCAAGACATGAATTTTCAGCACCAACACTCTGTCACACTAAATGAAGGCAAAGCGGCCACCATCTGCCTTCATTACTCATAATTTGAGCAAAAGCCACAGCATTTGATGCAAGGGGGACTTTTCCATAAATAGAAAGTCACCTATTATTAAAAGATTGGTATACTTATGATCAAATGGTATATACTTCAAGATATTCAGAATAAAGTGAAGATAAAAAATATGGTGTTTGAAAGGCTGGAATTATTTAGACCAATTGTAAAATTAAAGCAAAAATAAATAAACAAACACTCTCCTTTCTACCTAATATAGACAGAAAATGGCATTTAAAGATAGACAAAGTGTGAGATCTAAGAAAAACATGGACACAAAATAATGCACACCTTCAATTTCTCAAGAAGCCTGGACCAGGATCCTGCTCTTAACATCAATTATGAAGAGATGTCTAGGTCTTCTTCTGAGGCTCCCAACAGTGGGAGCAGGGGCTGTCTCTGACTCTGTTGCCTGCTTTTCAGGCCCTTTCTTCCTACTGGATTCCCTCATCCAGCCTTAGTACAAGTAGAGGTGCCTAGTGTCACTGCAAGTTGGTACACCATGGTTGGCTGATATCTATGGGAGGCCTACCTGTATCTGAAGAGAAACAAAGGAGGAGTGGATGGGGGTGGGGTGTGGCAGCTGTGAGGAGAGAAGGGAGGGGAATCTTTGGTTGGAACATAAAAAAACAAAACAAAAAATAAACTCAAGCAAACAAACAAAAAAGAGATGAAAGAAGATGTCAGCTCCTCCCTGAAATCTCCACAAGGAGGAAATAAAGTGGATGACTAACTTCAGGGTGCTCTGTGGGTGATAACACTGCATAGGCAGTGAAGTCAAAATGTCCAATTTTATAAAACCATGTAAGAGTAACTTACTGCAATTACATCTGTCATTTGTAAAACACTGATCCCCCCACCTCACAGGTTGTACTTACTGTCAGTATCTGAAGCTCTTTATTTAAAATGATATCTTAAGTTTTTTTTTAAAAGTAGAAAATAAGGATATGTGAAACTCTTAGTGGTTTTATGAATCCACATTAATAACGCAAAATCTCTACAAGTTTATATGAATTTTTGAAAAACAGAAAATATAAATCCTGTTACATAAATAAGAATTCAATTTTAAAATAAGTTTTACCACTGCAAGAATATTTGAAATAAAACAAGCTAAACACTAGCAGCATTTTAAATATACTTATTCTTAATAATGAATATGGGTGTGGAAGACCTACTTGAATGCCTTTATTTTAATTTCTAGCTACTCAAAGACATACTAAAGAAATTTAGACTCATAGAGTTAACAAGTAATTTTTTTTTTTTTTTTTAAATATTGGGTTAGGAAGAACCATGTTCATCAAAGGGTGACACCTGATAGTCACTATTCTAGACACAGGGAATGAGAGGTGACCACATAGGTTGATCATTTACACTAATGAGGTGATGATCTAAGACCAAATGATACTCATTATTAGATCTGAACTTTATACTAATAACTCCATTTAAGCTTTTATGTTGTCATAGTAACAAGACAAAAAGTTCAATCACAAATGTTCAATTCAAATACATAAGTGATTCTTGAATTTGCTCTAAAAAAATTAATGTAACCAGCTAAATAATGTATAACTTTGAAAACATTTTGCTGTCAATCACATTTATTAATAAATATTTCAAAAAGCATATTGGAACCAGTATTTTATGATATATTACATTTGTAGTCCTGTGCTTGGTGCTATTTCTGAGGCTTCCTTTCAACTCCCGTTTAGCAAGTTTACCTTGTCACAGCCTACCCAAAAATCTCAGGAGCAGGTGGGGAGTAAAAAGTGGCTCTCACTTTGTAGAGCTAGGTTATTAGGGAAGATTATGCATGGAGAACTAAAACCAAAGGGAGAGTGAAGATAATAAGTCCGATTTTAGTTCTGACAGTGTTGAGTGTGTCTTCTTCAGTTTCTTGGCTTTCTAACAAAACACTCAACTGTCAAAAGTATTTATTCTTAACTGGAAAAATTTACAAGAGGCCATACCCATCAGTTCCAGCACATGCATGACCTCGTACCTGAGCAACTTTTCTGGGCACAGGTTCATTGTCAGACTCTGATGCCGACTCAGAGCCTGAAGAACTTTCTTCCATGGAACTGGATTCTGCACTGGATGATTCTGAAGTTTTAGATTTTTCATTTTTCTTCTCCCCATCTTCTGAATCACTGTGAATAAAGATGAATTTTGAAATATAAACTGTAAATTACTTATGTACTCAAATTTAAGTAATTTTATAAAATTCAACAAAGATGATGTTAAAATTCTAAAATATGAAAATTAAGTAAGAGCTGAGATGGCTCAGAGGGTAAAGGTTGCAAGCCTCATGACCAGAGTCTCACCTTCAGGACCTACAAAGAGGGACAGAATCAAATTCCACAAGTGGTCCTCTGATCTTCACATGTGCACTGGGAAGCATATGCTCACACAAACTCCACACTTGCACTGGAAAGCATGTGCTCACACAAACCCCACACTTGTACTGGGAAACATGCACTCACACAAAAATAAAAGATAGTACCTGCAACCAAGTAAGTTGGAACAATTTCAAATAAAAAATCATAAAATACTAATTGATATAATCAGTAACAATATAGAAAAATACTATGAGATGGCCAGTAGGAATTAAGAGCTAACTAACAAATTCTAAGAACCTAGGCCGATTTTTAAAATGATGTCGCAAAATATTTTGTCAACAGACCTGCATTTGGTAGATTTTGGTTCTAAGAGAATCAATTAGACAAGCACACAAATGTGATCACATATATATATATATATATATATATGTATGTATGTATATATGTATATATGTATATATGTATATGTATATATATACATACACATAATATAAGAAAATGTTAATTAGCTCAGAGGAAATTCTTATTTGTTTAATTAGAGATAGGGTCTTGCTTTGTTGCTATGTAGCCCAGGCTAGCCTCACACTTGGTCTTCTAGCCTCATATTCTCAAATATTGGGAAGAAGGTGTATGCCACCATGCCACACTCTAACATGGTTCTTTTAATATATTGGTTAACTAAAAGTGCTAGTCACTTATTCACTAGGTCAACTAGCATTTATTACTAACTTGTTCGCCTCATGCTAGGTACTAAAGATAACAGTGATTGAGAGACAGATGACCCGTGTGTCAACTTACAGTGTTCATAGTTCATTGGAGCACACAGAGAATACACTGGCTGTGACAAGACACACAAGCAATAGGCTGCAAAATGCAGTGAACACTCAAAGAGCCACCCACGCTAGATATCCAAGATTAGGAACCTTCTTGAGAAAAGGACAATTTGAGAAACAGAAATAAGGTAAGTGGGCAAATCAGGACGTACTCTCCAAAGAGAATGAGCAGTGTGGAAATGACAAGCTAACTGCCTGAGGATGCTGAGACTTCCCCAAGAATGGAAAGTCTAGTTACTGTTACTGTGTGTTTGTTTATGTATACATGTGTGCACTCACATGTGTCGGCTGTCTTATTTTTTAAAAAATTCTACCTTAGGGTCTAGAGAGACAGTTCAGCAGTTAAGAGTGCTCAGAGCTCCGACAGAAGACCTTGTGTTCAGTCTAAGCACACACATGGCAGCTTACAAATCTATAACTCCAGTTCCAGGGAATCCAAGACTTTATTCTAACCTCCTCGGGCTCTTGCATGATGTAGTGCACACACATATACTCAGGTATGCATATATGCAGACACATGCAGACACACTCACATAGACACACACAATCAACCAATCTGAAGGGTTTTTTTGTTTTTGTTTTTGTTTTGAATAATCTACCCTGGGCTGGGAAGTGCTAGACACTCCATCCCAATGATCTACTGCAGATGCTCTCATCCTAGGTGCATTATTAAACCACTTCCAATAAGGAAAGCAACATTTGAGGTCAAATAACTTTAAGGTCACACTGGCAGAAGAGGGAATCATGAACTCTGAGTTCACATCTATCTCTCTCTGACATCCTATTTCCCCTTCTACCATTCTACTGTGTCTATCATGAAAATAATTTGGAATGTAAAATTCAAATTTAGTGAGAACTCTTGTCACTACTAAAGGGCAGTTTCTGAAGATACTTAAAGATTATCAAGAACTGCCAGTTCTGCTGGCAACTGGTAAGCAAATTCCAAGAGATGGCTGCATGAGAGAGGAGAGAGAGGGCAAGGGAAGAGGAATCGATGGTTCTCAGAATTGATTTTTGTGGAGGAAATATGATTGCTGTTTATTAAAAATGGAGCAATGGCAACATCTCAGAGCACATGTAATTATATCTGAAGATGGAAAAATATGTTGTTTTCTCTCCTATAAAATAATGGCAATATATATTATCCCCAACTCATTGTTTAAAACATATACTTGTAAATAAAAGGACTTAGAATGTCTTGTGGTTCGCCTTGGTGTAACAATTACTTTAAATTC